AAGTAACTGAAAATTCAGAACGTTCCCTGGGAGGTCCCATCACCACGTACAGGAATCCACGTCGAGGGGTCGGTAAAATTAGTCATCTCACATTACGGTCATATCAGAAAAATTACCATTACGTAGACAATTTGACGGTTTAAATTATAAATTAGAATTTTTTTACTTATGAAAGATATATATTTCATCAATTATTACTGTTCATAATTGAAGTCCCTAAAAAATTATAGCTGTAGATGTACGGTTTATGGTTCATAGCAATATTAGTAAATGTATGATCCTAAACTTATCAGCACAAAGACGCTTTAGCTATCTCATTCTACTACTAAAACTGATTTTGTTGTTCGGTAATTAATAAATAAGAATATGGATGTATATAATATAATAGGATTCAGGTAGATACATTATGTGAATCAATTAACATAGTTATATGTCCTAAACTAATGACAAAATAATACAGGCAATTTGAGTCTATAATTACAAAATAGGAAACAAATATGAAAAAAGTATAATGCCTGATCATAATTATACCAATATGTTTAATTGCATATTGATTTTGTTTTGGATCGACTTAACATTTTGCTTTTCATATTCAGATATTTTAATTGATTTTGCCTTATGATTTGACAACAGTGACTTAATTATATTTCCCCCTTCTTACTCGGTAATATAATATTATCTGCCTCTTTGGTTTGCCTGTTAATGTTTATGTGTCTATATTTTTGTTTGTTTTCCGTACTTGCTAATCATAATAATACTCTCTTTTTTTTCTGTCCTTACGACCTAAGTGCGCATGCATGCGCACTTAATTTCAAAAATGGCGGATGTAAATATACTTCGATAGACATTTTCTACAACAATATATTATAAGCTCATTCAAGTTTTTAAAAATATATAACTTTAGGTCGTAGAACAACTTTATAAGTTTACATTTATTAATAACATTAATGCGATAAAGTTTAGTCCTAACCAAACTAAAGCAAAAAACGTACACAAGTTACAGTGTTAATTTATCTCTTTATCGAATATAGACTATTTAATCAAGGCTTAACTAATGTTAGGACTAAGAGTAGTGGACTTATATACGATTAGAATTCTTTTGTATTATTCTAGAAATCCTGTATTTAAAGAATTGCTGTTGCAATAAAGATACTAATTTGACCACAAATGTTTTGCGGATCTCTGCTAATTGACTAATGCTTTACTGTCCTTACGCTTCATATCAACCATTACGGAGGCCAACGCCGGTAGAGATATGTTATTGTTGGAAGCCAAACAGGAAAATTCTGTAAACAAATCCTGACGTTTAAGTTCAGAAATTTCTAATAGGTTAAAGCTGATGTTATGGGGTGTAACTCCATAGGTGTTGTCTAGTAGCATAGGTCCTCGCCACCAAGTAAGCTTTGGTATAGGAAATCCTAAAGCAGAAAAGAAAAAACTATAAAGCAAAATAGATATGTTATCAACCAAACGATCTACCATGTTTCATTTTTGTCTTCTGATCCTGTGTTTTATGTGATAGAAAAAAATGTACTGGGTTACGTCAGATAAATATTGAGACCAAGTAAAACAAAACATATTAAAGAACTCAAAATTTAACATAATAACGATAAATATGAAGCCTATCTATCATTCAGTTCACCACTTGTCACTTAGTTAAACTGGTTTCGTGAAATTCCACTCCTTATCACCCTCTAGACAAGGACAAGTGTTTAAGGGAATGATAGGTTGGGCTTCATATTTATGTTTAGTTTCTTAAGCAGCTTGTCTGCTGAATAACTTAGAAGAATAAATCAGTGACATCAATGCTACATATTTTTTCAAATTCATTAATGGGTTAATGACGTTGGAAGGAATTCTCGAAATTGGTATAACTCAGTGACTAATGGTGAATCGAATGGTAGATTGATGTTTATTTTCGGTATCTTAAACAGTTTGTCTTCTGAATAATTTAGACGAATAAATCATAAATACTACATGTTCTTGAAATCCTATAAAATAAAAAATTAATAGCCATTTCATAAATTTATAAAATATATTTATCTATCTATATATATATATATATATATATATGTGTGTGTGTGTGTGTGTGTGTGTGTTTTATTTCCATTATATTTTACTGTTCTATATACATGCATATATATATATATATATGTATATATCTAATAAGCCCAAGCAACTGAAATTATATTTGTGCTGTAGAACATTTGGTCAAAAGCTCAGTTTAAAGTTCACAATCAAGTTTCCACTAGGATTATAAAATTAAAATCTCTTTTATTTAACCTAAATTTAAAATAGAAATGTAGACCAAAACGGAAACTAATAACAGTTCATTCTCAGCTTTCTTAATTATAACAAGTTTACAATTGTAGGTTTCAGGTAACTAATTCCAGATACTTCTAAACTATGTTGTATATATCTCACCACCTTCACTTTCACACATCAGTTCCAGTTTATCTCCTTCATTGAAGGGGCCAATCATGTTTTTCAGAATTTCTCCATTTCTATTCATTATGACTGGATCCTTCGGTGGAACTGTTAAACCATCAAATAACAAATTATTAATGAAAACCATGACATCATAACCATGATCAAACACGTAAATGTCGTAGTAAAGTGTACAGACATTTATGTTTCACTTATATCGGTTTTAACAAATGTGCTAATGTTCTATAATTAAGCAATGACAGTTCATTAATAACATGGTATCATTAAAAGACGTTTGAAACGTTTTTTAATTGTGTTTTTTTGTATATGATACGGCAGAACATTTTCAGTGTTACGTCTGCGGGCTTATACTGTTAGAAATCGAGTTTCGATACCCGTTGTGGACAGAGTACAGATAGCCCTTTGTGTAGCTTTGTTTTTAATGAAACAAAATAACAATCAAAATAAAATTATTCATTAAATAAAAATTTAATTGTTTTCTTTCGATTGATATTGGAAGTTCAAAGTACCACTTTTTTGTTTGATACATGATAAACATAATTAACGAAAATATGTACCTTAAAACATTTTTTTTACGAAATCAATTTGTTTTATTTTAAAAGGTGAAAATTCTTTAACAAGTTTAGCCAATGATTTGGGTTTGTGCTGACTAGTCAGCCAAACGGGCTACAAGTTAATCTTGTGATGCAATCAAAAACTCATTACAATGTGGAATAATCGGGAGTTTATGAACTCCAGTAGTTTTACTATTTGTTTCTTTTCTCATAAGTGATTGACTGTATTTCCTGCACCTAAACTTAATAGTATTTAAATCTCTGAATAAATTACATATGCTACGAAACTGTTTTTTTAAGCCATTATTTGAAAAAAATATATATTTATATGTATGTGAATGTATTTACGTTACAATGGATTAACTCATCATTTAGATAAAAGTAGCATTGCCATTTCTAATCGCCAAATCTTACTTGGTAAATGAAATATAGCTTTACCGTTCCTAATCACCAGATACTGGTGTACAATCTAACGTGACTGAAACATTTGCTCCTTAGTTTTATTTAGACTCGATTTATTCAAAGTCATATATCTGCAAATGCTTTTATCGTAAAGAAAGACTGACGGATTTGATTTATGACTTGATCAAAAGACACCAATAGTAAAAGAATGTGTCTTTCAATCGCAAGATTCAAATAAGAAAAGTGAAAATGACGAAACAAAAAGTTAGTAAAAGTCGTACACATTGTTGTTTTAATATTCCGATGCGCTGGTGAAGAACAAAATGATGTTATCAATGCTATACACTTCAGACTGACAACTTCATATGAAAGTTTTCAGTAGAACAACGGGACGTGAAGTCAACAGCTAAATCCTAGGAATGTCAATGCTATATATCTAAGATTTTTGAACATGTTTTAAGTTGTTGTAGACAATGTAATCTTATCAACTCCCTCACAGGGTTACATTGTTTAATAAACAACAATAAAACAAAAAACACATTCAAATCTAACCTACTGCCGAAAACGTTGTTGTAACATTGCGACAAAGAAACAAAAAAGAACACGTTTGTGTACTTTTTATCAGTTGAAAAAGTAAAATCTTTTAGCAAAACTTTCGCCAAATATCGTAAAAGTAATTTATACGTTCAATTGCTGCGCATGAAACTATCGTAAAAGTAATTTATACGTTCAATTGCTGCGCATGAAACTATCGTAAAAGTAATTTATACGTTCAATTGCTGCGCATGAAACTATCGTAAAAGTAATTTATACGTTCAATTGCTGCGCATGAAACTATCGTAAAAGTAATTTATACGTTCAATTGCTGCGCATGAAACTATCGTAAAAGTAATTTACACGCTCAATTGCTGCGCATGAAACTATCGTAAAAGTAATTTACACGCTCAATTGCTGCGCATGAAACTATCGTAAAAGTAATTTACACGCTCAATTGCTGCGCATGAAACTATCGTAAAAGTAATTTACATGTTCAACTGCTGCAAATGAAACTATCGTAAAAGTAATTTATACGTTCAATTGCTGCGCATGAAACTATCGTAAAAGTAATTTACACGTTCAATTGCTGCGCATAAAACTATCGTAAAAGTAATTTACATGTTCAGTTGCTGCCGATGAAACTAGCTTCAATTTCGAATAAATAGTAATATTTGGTTTTCGATGATAAACGCTCTCGTTAAAATAGAATGCTATATAATATAAAGTATATTTTGGCTAAAGTAAATAATTTAAATGCTATTACATATATAGTCCTTTTGTTTCACACACTTTTAAAATCCTCAACCCGTAAAATCTATTGTAATTTAAAGCAAAAAACAAGTTCATTTATACATTATATTTGACTCATTCTGCCGTGATAGTTCATGCACGAAACATGACGCTAATAATGTTCATCAATGTCTTCACATAGAACATAAAAACTTATTCACGCTTACTTCAATATGGCCTACAACAATAAAAAATAAGTTTTTATCATGAATATTAAAATAAAAGCCTTCGGCACTCTATGTCATGCTAAACTTTAAATTACCCAGCTTCCAAACACGTCCTACCTTTTACAGTTTAAACAAGATACAATTACCCAGCTTCCAAACACGTCCTACCTTTTACAGTTTAAACAAGATACAATTACCCAGCTTCCAAACACGTCCTACCTTTTACAGTTTAAACAAGATACAATTACCCAGCTTCCAAACACGTCCTACCTTTTACAGTTTAAACACGATACAATTACCCAGCTTCCAAACTCGTCCTACCTTTAACAGTTTAAACAAGATACAATTTCCCAGCTTCCAAACACGTACTACCTTTCACAGTTTAAACAAGATACAATTAATCAGCTTCCAAACACGTCCTACCTTTTACAGTTTAAACAAGATACAATCTCCCAGCATCCAAACACGTCCTACCTTATACAGTTTAAACAAGATATATTTCTACTGAGGAAAATGAATGTTCTGACGTAAGTATTTGTAAGATTTATATGAAACACTGATGGTAAAATATCGTATTAACCTTTCTCACCTAGTCATCCAAAGCTAAAACAAAGAATATAAATGCGTATGAACAGAACTAGGCCAAAAAATCCAATCTGTTTTGACATAAGAATGTTTAAAAACTTGAGAAAGACCTATATATCGATCAACTCTTTAACGATTAACGTTTCTGACCAACATATTTCAAAAGGTTCTGTAGAGGCAGAATTTGTTGCTGTACTGCAATTAAAGTTAAACTTACAATCAGGATTAATTACTTTTACATGTGAATATATTGATAACTTATGCCTCATAGCTTTAATAAAAAACATAAAATAATTTGTGTTTACTTAACTAGAGTTTAAAAGATTTAAAAAAACAAAGTTTTGCAGAATTTTATTATATCACGGGTATGATGCGAGGAAGAAGATCTGGCATTGTTTTGTTCGTTCGTTTTTGAATTTCGCGCAAAGCTACACGAGGGCTATCTGCGCTAGCGTCCCTAATTTAGCAGTGTAAGACTAGAGGGAAGGCAGCTAGTCATCACCACCCACCGCCAACTCTTAGGCTACTATTTTACCGACGAATAGTAGGATTGACCGTCACATTATAACGCCCCCACGGCTGAAAGGGCGAACATGTTTGGTGTGACGGGTATTCGAACCCGCGACCCTCAGATTGCGAGTCGAGTGCCCTAACCACCTGGCCATCCCGGGTAATTTGTTTGTTGTTAAGTACAAGGTTTTGTTTTTTTTTTTGTTTGTTTGTTTGTTTTTAATTATGCACAAAGCTACACAAGGGCTATCTGTGCTCTGCCCACCACGGGTATCGAAACCCGGTTTCTAGCGTTGTAAGTCCGCAGACATACCGATGTGCCACTGGGGGGCTTAAGTACAAGGATATTCAATAAGCTAACTTTGTTATGCCCATCTCGGGTAGCGGATTTTTTAGTGTTACAAGCTCACAGACTTGCCACCTGGAGGCCTGTTTATGGAAACAGGAACATGTTATATTTCAATCTGAATATAAATATATTAAGTTAAAGTTTACATGAGTAGCTGTAATTAATTATATAACAAATGATAGATTAAATGAAGAACTCACAATTTTATAATTTTTGAATAAATCAAAAATATGTTTTAAGCTCTGAAGCAATACACTATTAAAATAAAACAAAACCATGTCAAAATATTTTTACTGGTTTATTTGTTTCATCCTATACTTTTTCTGTAAAACTTAATCACATATTAACTATTAATTTAATAACTAGTAAACTAATTTGTAAACAATATTTGCTATTTGCTGTAAAAATAGCAATATCTAAAAACCTGTTTAATATTGTACCCTGGAGAAGAATTTATTGCGAAGCTATATTTTGTCTAGCGTTTTTCTGTTGTTTTTGTTGTTGTTGCTGTTTGTTTTTTTTTCGTAACCGTGTGAGAATAGATAGCTCAATTAAAAGCTATAATAGATCAAAATCACAAAAAATGGGAACCTTTTCGGTCAACTGATGTAATTTAAGACAAATTTTTTACCGTTTTTTTAATCGTGTTTCGAGCTTAATGCTGTATTGAATTATGTTTTGCTCCTGTATAGACCCTAAAGTGTTCATTTTAGATAATTCATAACTATAGACCCTGTCCTGTGGAAATAGATAAACTAAAAATTTCGTACTAAAAGAAAAACAACAACAACTTTATGTATTTTTGGATAGTGTTTTTATGGTTTATTGAAGTCATGGGAATTTAGGTGGAAACATAGGAGGCAATATTTTGTTTGTCTTCAGCATATATCTATCACGATGATAAAAGTCGTACCGGTAAGAACACATATCCCTGTTATCAAATCATAAATGGTTTCAAGCTGAAACCATTTATTGTGCACGGTTCATTTACTTCCTCCTCCCTGTTGTAAATTACTCTCGTATATGTCGCTGTTTTCAAATACTCTCGTAACTAGGTTTGTCGTAATTTACAAACTTAGTTGTTGTTTTTTTAAGTTGTTGATAAGATAGTTTTATTCTAGGAAAAACTCATATTTTACAGAACAAAACGAGTATTAAAAATAAATTCCTATCAAGTTTTGTTAGCTATTAATCTAATTGCATGAAAATCAACATAATTATGTTCCTTTTTTTTTTCCTCATCATGGGAACTCGGCTGGGTTGCATAAGAACCAAATATTCTAAAATTAGATGAACATTTTTTTGTTCGGAACCTATTCTGAAATTTTAGTTGGTACTTGGCATTTTGAACTTTAATTCCATATTATGCGTATAAGGTTGCACTCCCAGGTCAAAGATTCCTATTATTCAGGTATAATCTTTCTTAATTTTAAACTTCTGATCAGAGGAAAGAAAGACAACCAGCCACACCTGCCGCCACTAGAGGTGTGACCACACCGGAAAGAGTGCAGAGTGTGGTTAGCATCATCAAGTCTCGAACCCTGACACTTAAATCGCAGGCTTACATGATAATCACGTCTCAGCCCTTACTGTTAGATCCGCAGGCTTACATGATAATCACGTCTCCAGCCCTTACTATTAGATCCGCAGGCTTACATGATAATCACGTCTCGAACCCTGACACGTAAGGGCTGGAGACGTGATTATCATGTAAGCCTGCGGATCTAATGTTAGATCCGCAGACTGAAACGTTAAATACTAGGCCACACTCGGCCCACTTGGGATAATCTGAATCACTAATTTCCTTTGAGCTTCTGCCAATCCAAGCTATAGCGCCATATGGTAATGTCTAAAAACAAATGTTTATAGTTTATCGACTTTTTTCAGTAATCCTTATTCAGCTTCTTTCAAATGCACATGGAATAGTGTATTATAACATTCTTTAATAGCTTAGTGGTTTGTTTGTTTGTAATTAAGCACAAAGCTACACAATGAGCTATCTGTACTCTGCCCACTACGGATATCAAAACCCGGATTCTAGGTTTGTAAGTCCGCAGACATACCGCTGTGCCACTGGGGGCAGCTTAGTGGCGCCATAATGTTTAGATCAAAATTAAGTGTTAAAAGTTGTTGTTGTTGTTGTTGTTTTTCAAATAATTCTTACAATGTGATTTACTTCAGTACATCATCATTTTAATACCTATTTCGTTTCACGCAAACTCAGTACTAACTTCTTTTAACAGTTTATCATGTAGCCTAATAGCATATGGAAAAAGGACATATTACATGATAAATTTCTCAGTTCTAGCATTACCTTGAATCCCCATCTGAATTCGAGAATTGTCAACATATTATTAAAATATACAAAATAATTTCAACAGTTTAGAGACAAGAGCAATAATGTGACAACATTGTTAACACCTGACGCTGTAAACTTATTCGGTATGAGCTTTCAGATTCAATTCAACTTTGTTGGAAAATATCGTGTTTAACATGTTAATGACATAAACGATATTTTTCTCAAAGTTAAATCTCAACATCTGTTTAAAAAAAAATTTTTTTCATTGAATATTATTTTTAACTTTTATTTCCATTCGATTTTACAGAACCTCAATCTTAATCACAGCTTATCGTAGTTTTCTTAATGGCTCAGTATTACAACGAAGTACTTACTACACCTGCGAACTTATGAGAGTATCAAACAGAGCTGGTAAACAACTATCAAATCATCCAGACTCCGCAATTCCCACACATAGTGGAAACAGCAACCGCCTCACCTTGATTAAAGGTTTCAAAGTCATCTCATCCGGATCATCCAATATTGAACTTATAATTAAAAATAGTTTATCTATTATAAATGAACTCTCAACTTTAAATAATATCAAGCTTCACTGCAATTAAGTCTGTTCTGAATAACCTGTATAATATTGTTACAATTGTTACACTATCTTATTCTGTTTTTGAGTTTGTTTTTTAATTGACTTCATTCTTTTACTCTGTATTTTAATTCATCTTTACAAAATGCTGGAACTTCAGAAATGTTTGTACGTAACATTTTACTTGGTTCAGTCTAGTTTATTGAAGATGGAACATTCCGAAACATTATACCTCGTTTCCCATCGAGTGAATCTGTTAGTGGTGAGCGTGGTTGAAATAGGTGACCCTCGGCCCACTCGCAATTTGAGGGTCACGGGTTCGAATCCCCGTCCCACCAAATATGCTCACCCTTTCAGCCGGGAGGCATTATAATGTTACGGTCAATCCCACTATTCGTTGGTAAAAGAGTAGCTCAAGAGTTGGCGGTGGGTGTTGATGACTAGCTGCCTCCCCTCTAGTCTTACACTGCTAAATTAGGGACGACTAACGCAGATAGCCCTCATGTAGCTTTGTGCGAAATTCAAAACAAATCCTCGTCCCCTTTCGGTGAAATAATTTTAATTTCATGATATTTTTTGAGATGAAATAAGTTTTATGTGTACTTCATGAATATAATTATAAATTTGTTTGTGAAGTCACTAATGATTTTACTTATTTATTACAAGGACTATTTTCCTTCCAGATTCACCTTTCTTTCTAATCCTCGTTCGATTGTTAAAACGAAGCACATGATACACACTTGTGATAGTCTACCATGTTGTTGAATACGTATTTGACACAAAGAACATAAACCTAACAATTACAATTAAAATTTATTGTTCAGATTTTACGTTGTAATTTATTAGGTGCTATAACATTCCCAGTCCTTGATTTGGATAAGCTCCGAGATCTTATTCTTATAACACTTTGTAAACCGATACAGCTTAATGGTATAACGCTGTTTATTCCAAAACTGTCTACTGTTCCTAAAATGTCATACTCTAAATTATATGGCGTAGTCGTAAACGATAATTGGTTGGTTAGTTGGACTTTAGTGGCGCAAATCGGCGAATCTATCTGCACCCTTAAACGGTAAGTTCCTTTCTAATTTTGCTGAAATTCACTACATGAGCACTATTTCTGAGAAATTAATACTTACCATAAGTTGAGAAATGGAATTATATTATTTTAAAGGATGCATATACACTGAAGTTAAATAAAGTAATGAGGGATTTACGAGTTAAGATTAATGCGATCTTTGATCTTAACAAGGGAAGTTCTATTTCAATTTTGGAGAAACTATCTCCTACAATCATGCTGCCTTATCTGCCTTATTAATGCATTTTCGGGTAAATATTCTCTACGAATTACATTATTGAGCAAACTGATAAACTATATAATCAGTGGTTTAATCTTCTGAATTTAAATGGGGATAGGAAATAATTTTCCCCAAGTAAAATTAATGGGTAAAGCCTGAATATCAGTAGTTTACACATACTTCCGCAGTGAAGTTTTACTTCTCCACACTAACCTTTTAAGTACAATATAAGACTGTAATAAAAGGTCAAAATGTGCTCAGGTTCAAAAACATAACACAAAGGTTAGAATGTAAAATTAACCTGAACAAATTACAATGTGGATCAGTTATATCTCCTTTAAATTTACGATAGAATATTCCAGAAGCAAATAAGTAGTATATTGCCTTTATAGTCTGTTAAATATTTGTTGTCTTCTGAGGTGCAAATAAACATAAAATATTCTGAAAAAAATTATCCTGAAACGTATTACTATCTAAAATTTTAAAACAAACATTAATGTTACAATTTGGATAATTAATCGCTATCTTGAGGCCTTAAATGATTTATTTCGACGGCGGCATGAGAAATTTGTTAACAATAGCCAGTAGCTGTTTAAGGATTTAAATTATAAAATAAAATTGGTAAATATTTTGGTAATGCCCTTGGATATTTGGTTGTTTGATTGAAATGTTCAGTACATTTATCTCCCTTAAGTAACTATTTTCATACATTATACCGCTGTAACTGTTAACTCAAGCATATACAAAGAAAATGGGATGTCACGGTTTTCTAATCAAAGACAAAATATAGCATTCGTGCCCAAAAAACGTGCTACTGAACTGGACTTTCAGTAGATTATAATAACGCTTCTGCAAGATTAGCTGTGTTTGTTTCGTTAGTAACGATCCCTGCAAGTTGGTATTAAACTAGGCTCTTTATAACATTTATGAACTTAACAGTACTTAATGACACACGAGTTACTTACAAAATGATATATTTTTTGCAATTACTTTTATACGAAAGGAAAAGAATAAAAAACACGAACATTAAACTTAATTTATAAGTAAATATGATAACACTCTAGAACGTTTTATTGGAAAATGTTTTCTCTCACTTATAATGGAGAGGGAAACTTCTGAGTAACGGGTTCTGGCTCTCTTGAAATCAACTCGACAGGTATAAATTCCTTTGTCAGCTAAAGAAACTGACTCAAGTTGCAGAATGGCTGGTTTAGAGACAGTAGAAAAGTACGTTCTGGTAGCATAATTGTCACTAGAAGAATGTCTTCCTTCTCCAGGCGAACCGCCTCTCCTGGCGTCTAGGCTGTAAAATGGTGTTGAAAAATCATCTCTGTACCAAAGTACTAAAGTGACGTCATCATCAGTTGTTGGCGGTGTAATGTCACAAGGTAGGTTGACATTTCTTCCCAGCACACCTTGTAGAGACACCAACAGCTCTGTAAGAAGAGGTAACAAATAAATTACTTCTAACGTAAGAATTCCACGTATCACCGTAACAGTGTTTAAAAGTTAGGATTCCGTCGTGAGGCATGTGAAGTTCACTAAGTTATAATGAACTGGATTACCTTAATCACAGCGTTTTGTATGTTTTAAGTCGTGTAGCGTCTGTTATTACTTTAGTCATAGAAATATAAAAGGATAAGTTGTAGGTAATATTACTATGTAATGTAGCACATTTCATTTATATGACACGTCTTTATTACTAAGATATATATATGTAGAAAAATTGGAAGGTGATAAAATACAGAAATTAAACTTTTAGAGAAAAATCACCTTTAAAAACTATGGAAGTATTTTATTTACTTTTTTCACTAAAAGTCTAATTTCTTTATATATATATATATATATATA